CCCCCCCCCCCCCCCTTATGCCAGTTTGGATCCCAGCGCTCTGCTTGAGCAGTATTCCGGGCCAAGACTGGGTGGATGTCTGCTGCAGATGCTGTTCCCTTAGCGTGTGCAGCACTGAGAACATCTCTTCTTCCTCCTCCTCTGAGGATTTGAGTTGGCTGCTGGTTGGCACACTCCTCCTTGCCCATATAAGTTATTTAATATAATAATGAAGCGAAACACTGTGGTAGGAAAATAGCCACTAGGGAAAAAAACAAAAAACAAAAAAAACAAAGCAGAGTTTGGCACTGTTGGACTGCCCATCCTGCTGGAAGGACGGTGTTTTGTTTGCCCTTCTGAGCTGTTTACAATTGACCACTGTGTTCTATAGATGTATTTTTCAGTAGTTTTTGTTGTTACTTAATTTTCCATAATGTCCCATGGCAAAAGCCATGCTGTCACCCCCACCCCCATAAATGTAAACGATCTGATGTTAAGGGTCTTGGGGAAAAAATCCATAACATAACCACAATTGTTTTTTAACTAACTTATTTTTTATTATTTTCTGGAGTCTGTTGGTGACTAAACATGTAAACAAGGAGCAAATTGGAAAAGTTGCCTCCTGCCCCATAGCAGTGAACAAAACAAATGAAAAGCAGGTTGTTGTTAACTCTATGATCAATCTGATTGTGAACTAGTTTGCCTTGTTAACATCTAACAGGCTGTAATTGCTCTGCAAGCAGCCATTCTATGTACTCTAGGAGAAACTTTAGAGTAGTTATCCCAGCTGATGAAAATGCACAATGCCAAGTTCCAACCCTAGCCATGCCCATTAACCTTTCTGACTCTGATGCCGCCTTGAAAAGCAGCATGTCTTTAGTGTGCATTGTCTCAACAGGCCTCAACTGTCTCCAAGTCGTCCCTTTACAACGTCAATACATTTTACACTCTGCAGCCAAGAGTTGTGGTGTCTTTCTTTGCTTTTTAGATGGAACTTGGGTGGGCGGGCTTTTGACTGGTTCAAAATGTGTGTACTCCTGAAGGGGTGGTCCTAGGACTAAGGGCATGGATGGGCATTTGTGTTCTAAAAAGAAATCCTAGCAAGCATTTTTCAGACACTTTGTAAGATGTTTAAGCACAGATTCTGCCATTGTCATTCCCAGCCTTAGGTACACAAAGGAAATGGTTATAGTCTGATAATTTGTCAAAGACCACAGAACTAATGAGAAGCACAGGGCTAAACTAGGCCTTTTAACCCAGAGCCCAGGCTTTAAACTACCAGGGCATCCCAAGCTTTGTACTCTTGCAGATAGCTTGGGGAACCTTGTTTCCCTGAAGATTTTCAACCTGCAAGACTGGAGTGGGACCCCTGAGATGCCAAGGTTCTGGATCCAGCTTAGACTCCAGGCTTCCTTGTCTCATGTGTACCTGCAGATTTATGTTGGTGTAATGACTGAGTAATGGCATAGAAGAGCCAACACCATTGAAAGAGATCTTACATTTTTTGAGAGAAGGGGACAGAACACACCCATGAGGACCAGTTGGGAATCACTAAGTACAGGAGGCAGAAGTGGAAGAGAAACAGAGGCCCTGCCCCATAGGGAGGCTTCTTTAGGGAAAACAAAGCAAGGAAAATGTCAATCACTAATTCCTGAGGCCTGGGGGTGGTCCTTAGGTGCCCTGGGATGATTAAGACAGGAGACATGCTATGTGGGAGTTAGATGATGGAGAAGATCAGTGGGACAGACTAGGGATTGGTTGGTGGCTTATGAAGGGTGTCCCCTTCACAGAAAAATTTAAAATGTGATAAATACAGCTCTACAAAACTGTCCCATTCTTTTTGAGCTGTCTACCCCTGCCCTCCATAACTGTAATTGATGGCAGCAGTGCTTATATTTCTTTCATCGGTTTATTGTCAGGGGTGGTCAGATCTAGCCAGTTACTTGTTTTCTATGACCTACAGGTAATAGGTTGAAAAACTCAAAAGGGGAATTATATTTTCCACCATATGGAAATGATGTTAACTTCAAATTTCAGTGACCATAAATAAAGATTTAAGGGACTGTGGCATGCTAGCCATTTATGTTTCTCTAGTGGCCGTTTTCTGCTACAGCCACAGTGTTAAAGTGGTGGCAGAGACCATATACCCCAAAGCCACGTAATTACACTTTGTCCATCTGTGGCAAACTTACCTGATCTTAGTAGTTTTTTTTGTTAAAGTTTTTAAAACTGCTACTCTTGTGACATTAGATACCTAAATATGGTCAATGATTTTTTTTCTAAAGTGGTCTTAGGTCTAGAAATGTAATTCTAAGGCGGTTTAAAGAGAAGCCTTTCCGTTGTTTTACTATCCAGGTGAGCTAGAAGTTCAAACCATGTGGGAACTTTTATGGAATCTACTGAGTATTTCTCCCTTTTGTGCCCCTTGAGTATGTGGCCTTCATAGCAGTTTAGCAGATACATTTACAAGTTGTATGGTTGGCTGGAAGCCTGCGAAAAGGCAAGCGTAGACAGTGCCAGGCAGTGTTGGTGGTTCTGTTGAGGCATGCCCGCTACACATTCCAAACCTACAGGGCTTTGAGCTGGGACCCGGCTGGGGTCTGGTGGAAAATGGAGGTAGGTAGATAACAGGAAAGTGTATGAACCCTTGCTTTTGAGGACACAGCCCAGTTCACTAGGGGATGGCCTGTTTTCCATATCTAACAAAGACATCACAATTAATAACCTGTTTGCACTTTTGTCTTGGAAGGTTTTGCAAGTTCACCTTCCCTTTTATGGAGCTGGAAGCTCTGCTGTTTCCAAGTCCACCTCTCTCCTCACACTCTTCTCGTTGGGCACATTCCTGTTCTCACTGCTGTCCCCCTACTCTTTGTGTGAGGTCTCCATCATTAGAAATTCAGCTGCTCAACTATATATCAAGCTATGAGTGGCCTCTACCATTCACAGTGCCTTTTGTTTCCCCTGTGGCTCTCCATACAAAGCAACACTTGCCTGTGTTCCAAAGCACCTTCGCTCTCTTGAGGGAAAGAGAATGCCAGACTGAGAATAAAGCAGTTTAGGCCAATTTTCAAAGGAATTCCTGAATGTATTTCCTGAATAGGAATGTGGTCACTGACCTGGAAACTAACTAAACATAAAACTCAAAGACATGACTATGGTGAGTCCTTGGGCTTTTATCTACCCTTCAGAAATTAGAAAGACAAAGCTTTGGCCAGACTTTGGCTTCCAGAGGTGAGTGGAAAAGTGAGCCCTTTCTGGATACTTCAAGCCAAAGGGATTTTTGTTTGTTGTTTGATGGTGTTGTTATTGTTGTTACTGGTGTGTGTGTGTGTGTGTGTGTGTGTGTGTGTGTGTGTGTGATTAGATGACTGAAGATTGCTTCAGCTCTCTGCTTCACTGTACTCAGTGCTGACAGAAATGTTTGGGTTGAAGATTTTTATGTCTCCAAGCCTCATTCTTTAGGAACTGTCATTCAAAACTGCAGACTGGTTCTATGTGAAATAGAGCAACACTCCAGTTCTGCACTTAAGAACCAAGGCATTTTAGAAGATTGTTTACTCCTTCCTTCCTTGCCTTCTCCCTAAACAGTTTGCTTCCTTTCCCTTTCCACCTACACTGCTTGGGGAAAAGAAAGTGTGTAGTCATTTGTCTCCTGATGAATCACTGTGGGAAAGTAAGTTTAGCAGAAGGTGTTGTCAATTCTGTTGAGACAAGGTGGTTGGAGGACAGGCATTGTGTTTTGTTTTTTTCTCAAGTGATTACGAACCCTCAATGCAGATGGGTGGTGATATGGGGATAATGTGTGCTTGGTAAACAGCCACATGGGCAAGACAATGATTAGTCTGGTTACCATTGGAGAGTCACAGATTTCATTTGCTTTAGTTAAATAATTAACATATCTAGTGTTGGGAAATTAAATCTAAGTGATTCTAAAATATCATGGGTGGCACTACCCCTACAGAGACTAGCAAAGAAAATTCAAGCGTGTGTGTGTGTGTGTGTGTGTGTGTGTGTGTGTGTGTGTGCATGGTTAAATTGTTAATACTCCACTGTAGTTATTAGTACATGACTTTAAGTCAAGCCTTAACAATACTGGAAAAACTCAACAGAGTGATTGACATGGTTTAGGGACGTGGGTAAATGTGAAATACCTTCTAGGAAAACACTGGGGCAGGACTGAGTAGTAGTTAGTGAACCTCACTCCAGGCGGTTTCCAGGGACTATGGGGACGGTTTCCCTCCTCTGAACCTCAAGATCTTTGTGAGTAATGGGCCAGGACTAACTGAAGCAGAATGGACTGTTGAGGGTCTAAAGCTCTTTACCATTTGCTGGATTCAAAGGTGAATTAGCAAGTAAATGCAGCATCCTGTTTGTATACTTCC